TTCTGATTTAGCAAGAAAAAGGAATTCGTAACTATTTGTGAAAATATTATCGCGTAACAGTTGGAAAAGTTTTAATCTATTGTTTGAACATCATCACAGCAATTACATCTGACATTGAATTTGAATTAAATCAAGTCTTCTTGCTAATTTATTATATTCGATCAAAAAAAAAAAAAAAAATTAACTATATAATTTACTATTTTATTTTATTTTTGGATTTTCTATTCAATTCATTGATATTTATCCGTCTTAGAAGATCATAATTCAAATATTTTATAAATGTAGTGAGTCTATTAATGATGATATTTTTAATGTTCATCGATATTTTTCAATATTTCAATTAGTAAATGAAATAAAAATATCTATACAAGTATCCTGCTACCGATATGTTACATGATCTTGATCGAATATTCTGTTGAATATCATCTTAGTACGTAGTAGGAATGTACCACTCACGCTCATGAGCGTGAGTAGTACATCCCAAGCTCTTCATGACTTGATGAATCTTAAGTATTTAATTGTAGACAAATATTGCGTTAACAAAGACTCATTGTGTAGAGTGAAGTTTTGCTGAAAGTTCGAGCAAAGACATGGATGTAATATGTGTCATGATTCTGACCATAAGTTCCTTGTCTTTCTCTTCTTTCATTTTCAGGTATTGATAATCCTTATAGGGGTTTACGAAAATTGGTCAAAAGAAAAATGGTCGAACGAAAATTGATCGCCGATAATTGGGCGATACGAAAATTGGTCGATGCGATAATTGGTTGATGCAATAATTGGTCGAAGCGAAAATTAGGCGATACGAAAATTGATCGAAGAGAAAATTGGTCGAAATTTTTATTATAAAAAAAAACAAAGGCTTTTTGTTAAACACAGGCGCTAAATTTTAAGCGTAAAAGCAAAATTTACACTAATTAAATTAATCAAAAAAATACTAACATTTGAGATATCTAATAGTTTAGACAAATAAGTTCGACAAATACAAAAAAAACAAGAAATTGTAGTTTAGAAACTATGAGCAAATCCTCTACTTGTTGTGGTAACGTTCCCTGTCTTGAAAGTGTGTGTAGGGATGAGGACAAGGTTGCAGACACATTTTCGAAGCAGGCAACCTTATTATAGCAATTGGGAGAACTCACTCATAGTTTCTAAACTGCAATTCCTTGTTTTTTTGTATTTGTCGAACTTATTTGTCTAAATTATTAGATATCTCAAATGTTAGTATTTTTTTGATTAATTTAATTAGTGTAAATTTTGCTTTTACGCTTAAAATTTAGCGCCTGTGTTTAACAAAAAGCCTTTGTTTTTTTTTATAATAAAAATTTCGACCAATTTTCTCTTCGATCAATTTTCGTATCGCCTAATTTTCGCGTTGACCAATTATCACATCGACCAATTTTCGTATCGCCCAATTATCGGCGACCAATTTTAGTTCGACTATTTTTCTTTTGATCAATTTTCGCTTTCCCTCGTTATAGAGACTAAATAAAATCACACAATTATTTGAATTCTTTGCGTTTCATATTTTTTGGATTTCGTGTTATTTAAAATTTAGACTGGTTGGATTTTGTTCGAAAGCAAATTAAGTGTCTATTATGCGAGAGTAGAATCAATGAAAAGCAGCTAGAAGTCGATTTTTCTAGTTGGAAGCTATACTAAATGGCCCTTGTCTTTTCTTCATCAATGTAATTTCTAAAATACATATGAAAATAAACCAAAACTTTTATTCAATATAAATAATGAGTAAATTTTGAACGAAATTAATTTATTCTTTGTTTTACATAATAATTTTTAAAAGAAATTTATCATTGAGATTTATCTCTATCACCTTGTTGTTCTTTGTAATGTTGAAGAACACGCGCTGATAGATCTATTTAATCACCACACCATTTTGGAGGCCATATATATGATATGAGATGTTCTTGACCCGGATAAAATTCTTCAAATATTGATCTAGTTACAAAGAAAATAAAATAAAATAAACAATGATTAAGACCATATGATTTTGTGAAATTGATATATGTTTCCAAAGAAAATAGTGGATATAGGTTTTAAGTCGAGGTTTTGCATCTTCCTCACCCATCACAAACCTTAGTAACCGAAATCGACAGTCAGAAATTAATGAATACATTTTTCTTAGCAATCGATTACACTGAATTTTATTGTTGCTTATACGGAATATGTGAGCTCCACATTATAACCCAAAAAGACCACGCCAACAAATTGTTACCGACAGAAATCTATGGAATCGTCTTGATGCGAGTGTGAATGGATCTAGGTCAAGAGGAAAAAGGCGAAAATTCCGTATTTCGGTGTACTTCTTTGTATTCCAAGGTGATGTCAAAAAAATTCTTGAGAAAGTTTTAGCTACGTCAAGTCTACTATTGATGTTTGTCACGCCACAGTAGTCGAAGTCCAACCGATATAAGTCATTGTGATAATAAAGTCTAAATACCGCATTATGTTTCTATTAGTGAAGTATGATGCAGTATTTAGGCTTTATTATCACAATGACTTACATCGGTTGGACTCCGACTGCTGTAGCGTGACAAACGTCAATAGTAGACTTGAAATAGCCAAAAAATTCTCAAGAATTGCTTTGACATAACCTTGGAGAATATTGAAGTACTTTAGTTTTCGCTTTCCCTCCTCCCTCCCCTCCCCCCATGATCCTGTTTCATATCCAAATTTAATTAGAGACTCGTTTTTCATTGAGCTGCAAGTTTAAAAGAACTATACTAGGAGAGATAACAAAAACTAGTGGCGTAACTCGGGATGAGCATGTCCGGGAGCCGCTCGGGCACCGATCAAAAGAAAAATTAACACTTAGCATCGGAACATCTTTTGTCGCATAGTCAAAAGCACTGAAAACCATTCGTAAGTCCTACAAATATGATAAAAACTAGACATGTGGATAAGTAGGCAGTATTTGTTCCTTGTTTACATGGTCCGTTTTTCTTTTTTCTGCTTGATTTCACTCCATAAAAAAGAAAATACATTTAGAACTGCAAATTTGCCTTGAAGTTTAAGGCAGACAATTTTCTAATTTTTTTTGGCGTGTTTTCGAGAGAATGGGCAACTTTCTCGCTAAATTTGAGATCCGAAAACGGAAAAATCGAGAATTTTTTGGTGACAAAGCTAAGTGTCCTAGAGAAGAAAGTGAATCTGATTTGTAAAATTGGTGAGTCCAGGGCCGCCCAAACTGAAAGAAGTGTAGGAATAGCAGCCTCCCTAACCCATTGATGAAAAACTTTTCGATTTTTCAAGACGAAATTCTAGAATGTTACTGTTGTTTTGAAGAACTTTTCGTTTTCTCCTCGGAAGGTCTCAAAATCAGATCGGCTTCCTTCTAGTAAAAAAATTTCAATTTTCTTCGAAAATTTGTTTCGACTTTCTCCTTTTTTTCTCGCAAAGTTGACAAAAAAAAATGCTGTAGTTTTCGTAAAAATTTTTGTACATTTTTCAAAAAATTCCCTAATTGATCATACAGATCGTCGTCCTTCCCTCAGCTCGAAGGCTTATGGGCAATCATGTTCGTGAGTGAGAAAAATTCAAGATTCTGAAGCTCATTCAGTAAAATTTGCTCGAATTGGGTTGTATATTGTGAATTAAATTTTTGAAACGCTGGGACGCCGTCCGGGCACCGATCATTTCCTGGTTACGCCACTAACAAAAAGTAATTGCATATATTGACTTTTTTTCCTGAAAGTGATCAATAAATAATTATCAACTCGATCTTTTATTTGGTCATGTACACAATAAGTGTCAAATATTAGAGAAAAAAAAATCCAGATTCAGATCCAAAACTTCACAGGTTCAGGCTCCTATATTTACCGATAAAGAAATACTTCTTTTGTCTTTGGTATATTTCTTGGATATAAGATCGATGCACGTTGAAAATCATTATCAGACATTTGTGTGTCAGCATATTCTTGCATATATTGATAGAGATTTTTTTCGTGAAAACATCATCAGAAAAAGCTTCTTTTAGTCAACAAAGAATAAATGATGGTATCAAATCAAGATCATCAAATGCTTTTCTATATGGAAAATAAAATTTCATATCTATAGAATATTTCTCCTTGAAATTTTATAACGAGACTTTTTGATAGTAAATATTTTTAATTTGTTTAATTTTTTTTTCTAAAAAAATTATTGTATAATTATGTAAATATAGAGGAAAATAGAATAATTCTATTGGTTTATACTCCAGACAGGGACATTTTGACCAATCAGAAAGAAAAAACCTTTTCTTCTTCATCTTCACCATTCTTATTCATATATATGTCGTGTCGAAGTTACACCGATTGTCGAAGTTACAACTTAGACGGATACATTCGTCGAAGTTATAACTTCGACGAGTACATTTATTGAAGTTATAACATAGACATTCATATTTTGTCAAAGTTGTTTTTAACATATAAATCAATATATTGATTTATATGTTAAAAAAAACTTCGATAAAATATGAATGTCTAAATTATAACTTCGATAAATGTACTCGTCGAAGTTATAACTTCGACAATCGGTGTAACTTCGACACGACATATATATATATCCAATCGTTTGAAAAATAAATGCATGAATGAATCTTTCTAATACCAAAACTACTTTTTTTTATTTAACAACGTTCATATTTAGACAATGAATTATATATTCATACGAATGATTTTTATTTTACTTATGACGACAACTATCGTCATTAGTCAACATAACAATGATAATCAAATTGCCGATCATGAAGTTCACATTCTACTTAAAAAAAAAAAATAACATGTTTATGTACTCCAGATGAACAATGTGATTCAAATTCTCCAACATGTCAACTTACACATCAACATCATACATGTTATGCAAGTTGGACATTACAATCAAATGATAATTCAATAAGTTTTACTGCTGGGTATGTCATTTTATTTCCATATAGAAAAAAAACTTTTTTATATGAAATCTAATTTAATCGATGTATGTATAACGATTATTTCTTTGTACGATTAATGTGTGGTACAAATCAAACAAATCGTTATATTGTTTGTTGTTTTCAACGTGATTATTGTAATGATCTTGATGCTTATTCAACAACAATTCGTGCTACATTAATATGTACAATATCAACAAGTAATTATTTATCTAAAAAAAAAAGGAAAAAGTTCAATAAATCAATTTTTATATTTATATAGTTACTTTAACAACACGTCAACCTCCTGGTAATTTTTCAATATTAATATTAATAACAATTATTTCAATAATTGTTGTAATTTTATTATTAATTGAATGTATAATTATGTATTTAAAACAGAAAACTAAAGAATAATAAAAATTATTCGAAAACAATTGTTTATGATGATGAACACTATAAAAACAAAATATTATTCAACGTTTATTAAAATATTTTCATCGTCGAACACGTTTAGAACAAAATTCAGATGGACGTATACCATCAGATCAATCATTAACTGCACTTCTCGATGAATTTTCAACAAGTACAGTCGGACCAGGTTAATCAATTGAATTTGAATTTATTGTAGAGATTTATAAATAATGTTGGATCTTTTTTTTTTTTTTGTCTAGCACTTCCTTTATGAATGCAACGTACACTTGCAAGACAAATAACTTTAGAAAAAGTAATTGATGCTGGTCGTTATGGTAGTGTTCATCTAGGAAAATGGCGTGAAGATCATGTTGCTGTTAAAATTTTTTCGGCAAATGATGAACGTTCATGGCTTCGAGAAATTGATATTTATCAAACTGTTTGTTTAAGATATGAAAATATTCTTGGATATATTGCAGTCGATAATAAGGTATACAGATATTTGATACAGAATCAATACAATCTTTTCTCTATTAAGGATGCATCGACATATACTCAACTTTGGCTTTTTAACGGATATCATGAAAATGGATCAGTTTATGATTATTTAATGACTCATACAATAACAATACCTATATTAATAAAAATGATGTTAAGTATAGCTAGTGGTCTTTGTCATTTACATATGCCAATTGATTCAACAAATGGTAAACAAAAAAAAAAGAATTCTATATTTAATATCTATTGAATTTTGTTTCAGACAAAGTTGCACTTGTTCATCGTGATTTAAAAACAAAAAAGATTTATCATGTTGTATTGCTGACTTAGGTCTTGCTGTAAAAGAAGTTCGCTCTCGACCTAAATCTCGAAAAGATCCATCACTTTCAAATGCATCTAATTAAGAACATGTTGATATTGATATTCAAGCAAATAGTCGTGTTGGTACATAATGTGAGTAAAGTTTCGAAATTAAAAAAAAAGTAAAGAAAAAAATTTCTTTTCAAAGGTTATATGGCACCAGAAGTTCTTGATGGAACATTAAATGAACGTAGTTTTGAATCATTTAAAGCTGCTGATATATATGCATTAGGACTTGTCTATTGGAAAATATTACGAAGATGTCAAATAAATTCAAATGGTAAATAAAAATATGTTTTAAAAAAAAAAAATTCTTTTTCTATTTAATTAAATTATTATAGAAAATGATGCTGATCCATATCAAGTACCATATGAAGATATTTTACCAAATAATCCAATATTTGAACAAATGCGTGATGTTGTATGTACAAGAAAAATTCGATCACCACCATCACCACGATGGCAAACACATCCAGTAGGAAGTTTTTTGAAATTAAAAATTCCTTTTTTTTTTTGGATAATATATTTTTAAGATTCTTCATCATCTTGTTCGTTTATGTAGAGAATTATGGATTGAAGATCCAGCATGTCGTCTTAGTAGTCTTAATGTTAAAAAACAACTTAAAACTCAAATGAGTTTAATAGAAAATAATTTATCAAATATAAATATTGAATCACAACAACAATTAACACAAAATGATGGTCGATGGACTCCATAGTTACATATAATAATGAGATATCCTTTCTTATGTAGATATTTTGCTTATTGTTTGTTTTGTTTTTTTTTCTCTTTCTCTTTCTCATTTCAAATTTTCTTTTTTGCACTAGTTTTGAACAGTTCTTATACTGTTTATTTGCCATTTTTCATATGTACGTCCGTTTTGCCTTACAAACTTTATGTACAGTTGTGTTATAAACGAAAAGAAAACCAAAAAAAAATTATTTAGCTGTCAGATGCCATCAATCGACTGCCGGAAAAAAATGCGTTTAATTAGTGTTCATTCTTTTTTTCCTATTGTTGTTGCTATTATTTCAAATTTCTTCGGTATTTGCGTTTTTGTGTGCGTCTATTGTATTCATTTTATTTGTCACAAAAACAAAACAAAAAAACAAAACGTTATCAACTATAATCGAAATGGCATCCTTTGAGTGTGTTTAAAACAAATAAAATTTTTTTTGTTATTCCTATAATTATATTTGTTTCAGTATTCTTGTTCTTTTTCATTTGTCTAATTTAATAATTATGGCAACATCACAAGGAACAACATTTACAGGTGATAGTACTACAATATCAACAACACAAACAACAGTTAGTGCACCACCAATAGTAACACGATCGACTGCTATTATACAACTTTTATCATTAGAACTTGTTGATAAATGTATTGGATGAAGAATTCATGTTATTATGAAATCAGATAAAGAAATTGTTGAAACTTTACTTGGATTTGATGATTATGTTAATATGGTACTTGAAGATGTAAGTTGGTTATTTTACAACAAAAAAGAATTAAATCTACTTACGAGGAAACTACCAATGACGGAGTCAGAAGGGGACTTAGCCTCTGCAAACTATCTGAAGTGATACCTGCCATTTGAACTTATATTGGGTTCACAAGGACGTCTTCATAAGACTAGAAAAATTCCAAATGGGTTCATGTCCATGGGCTCCTGCAGCCGAATTATGACTGTTCTACTGATTTTTCGGTCCAACTTTAGGTATTCACCGAAAAATCAGTAGAACAGTCATAACTCGGCTCCAGATACTCATGAGAACGAACTCTTTTAGGATTTTTCTAGTCTTACCGAGACGTTCTTGTGAACCAAATATGAGTTCAAACGACAGATAACACTTCGGGTAGTCTCATGTTAGGACATACAAAAAATAATGGTGGATGTATTTTAAGTTCTTTATAGAAAGTTTAAAGAAAATTTTTTTTCTTTATGATCTGTGATGGTTATATTTGAACACGGATTGTCTTCGATGTATATCCTATTCTTAATGTACTCGTCTCACGTAATGTTTAGCCGTCCATACATATGGGGATATAGAAAAAGTAGTGGCAGTATTGGTTTTCATAGAAATTAGCTCTTTAGTGAAAACGCATAGATGGTATTTCGCTTATGGTAATATGTCATTTTCTATACAGTGCTCTACATTAATGTTGAGTTGAAGCTGTTTCTAAAACCCAAACTAAGGAATGCGCCAAAACTGATATTTTGCTTTGTACAGACATAATTTTGAATTTTTTTTTCAAAATTTAATTTTAGTCCAGAGTGAAATCTGAACATATATTTGGAAATTTTGGTTCTGGTTTCGCGCTTCGTAATACATGCACTAATGGAAAATCCGATATCATTTTCTAGCAGTGTTAATGAGCTCGAGATATCTTGCATGATCTCTAATATCCTCCCTCTTGAAGATTCATTATTTTTTTTTAATTCACTAATACTTCGTTTATTCAGCACGTTTATGTATTCAACAACAAAGTTGTTTACGACAAAAAAAAGGATTAGTTTTCGCATTAATTTTTAAAATATATGAGTCGTGAGAATATGAAATTTGACGCAAGTCTTACACGATTATAAAAGATATTACTCCCAATGAAAAAGTGTTGGTTCCAGTTCCACCGAGAGCGGGATCATCTTGTTCATATCTATTTCAGACTCTAACCAGTTGTGTCTTTTAATGGTTGAAAAATGAACTAATATTTTGTGTGAGAACTTTCGCATCATAGGTTACATTAATTGTTTTGTTCTGCACTTATAGAACAAAGTGGCGATTGAAAAAAAAAACAACTATATCTTGTTTTTTTAGTTAAAAATTATTCGAATTTCTATTTGAATCTTATCATTGTGAATTCTTCAGTTCGATATGAATTAATTTTTGAGTCGAATTAATTTCATAATCTTTTTTTTTCAGGTAACTGAATTCGAAACATTTCCCGATGGTGGTAGTCGTATAACTAAACTTGATCAAATATTATTAAATGGTAATCATGTTGCTATGCTTGTCCCCGGCTGTGAAGGACCAAGTATAACCGGCGGAGCAGTATAAACAATAATGAAACACTATTCAAAAAAAGAAATTTGTTGTTCTAGTACAAAACTTCTTTGTTATATAAAAAAAAAATTTTTTTATCCATTTCTCTACAAGAAAAATTCTGGAAATGAAAAACAAAAAAGTGATCAGATATTTTCGACGAAAAAAAAAAGATCATAAATCAATTTTTGTTATATATTTAAGATTCTTTTCATCTTAGATTAGAAAAAACTTGGTATTTTTGTTTCTTCTATTCAATAAATGGATATAACATAACTTATAATGCATTTTCCATCATCATCTACAACATCATCATCATCATCATCATCATCACAAAATCAAATATCAAATATAACAAATTCCAATAATGTTTTATTTCTTCCATCAAATACATAAAAAATGTCATTTATAATTCCAAATAATACTAATACTAATAATACGATAAATAATTCTAGTCAACAACAACAAATTGTTTCATCATCAAATATATTTTCATCAACACCAACAAGTGGAATGACAACATCAATTAATTTAAATGTTATAAATACACAAACAAATTCAACATCAAATATATCAATATCATCTGGACAAACAACATCACAACAACAACAACAACGTTTAACATTTCCTCAACGAACAACATCATCAACACCATCATCATTATCACAATCTTAACAAATTCCACAAGAATAATTTATGAAAATTCTTCGTGTATTACAAGAAAATAATATGACTGAATCAGTTAAAACATTTAAAAAAGAATATCAAACATTATTTAATAAAACAATAACACTAACAATAACATCATTAAGTGAACCTTATTTTAATGCACTTGATGGTTATATAGCATATGTACAAGAACAACCTGATTCAAGTCGACATGAATTTGCTCAATTAATATATCCATTATTTGTTCATATGTATTTAGATTTAATTGATAAAGATCAATTTGATGAAGCACAAAGATTTTTTATGATATATGTTAAAAATACAAATTTACAAGCAACAGTTTTTGCATCACATAAAGATGATCTTTATCGTATTAAATTATTAATTACAAAAGAACAAATAGCACAAAGTGAATATGTTAAATCATTTCGTCATAATGGATGTTATTGAATTAAATTATGTAATGCATCACTTGAATTACTTGATCAATTTTTAATCAAACAACAAAAATATCCATTATTAACAAAAATTGTTCAAGCATATTTTCAAGTAAGAAAAAAACGAAAAAAGATTTTAATTTATTGAAAGGAAAGTTGCTTTTATAGTTGAAATTAAGACATATGTTCTTGTTTTTTTTTATATCAATCGATTCCTAACACTAAAACTAGAGTTATGAAAATTTTTTTAGACTTCTATGATTTGATTTGATGAAGTTATAAAGCATTGAAACATGAGCAACTCTGAGAAACAGAAAAAGAAAGGTTATCTTCATTGTTTCGCTTATATCTCTGTTTTGTTTGAGTAATATCTCATTTGAAAGAGCACGTTAAACTCAACAAAAAACATCTCGAATAGTTTTTGAAAAAGTCTGATCTTGATATAAAAGAATTAGCTTTTCTGAAAAATTGCACTTTTTCTTAAACTGACTTTTTTTTGATTGTAAGCTAGATTTTAATATGATCACTAATCGGGACGTAACTTTAATATAGTGCATTGTGTAGAGGATTTTGTGCTCTACAAGGTTTTGAGAAAAAAGTTTCAGAAACGTATTATTCCCGATGCATAAATTTATGCCTTTTTTGACTAGTATTTATCAGGTTTTGCTTAGAAAAATGATGATTTGATCAAAATTAATAATTATATTCTGAAATTACCATGAGAAACTGGGTCGACTTATGTAGATTTCAAATATCTTTGAGACACTTTTTTCATCGAAAAATTCATCCCTTGGCCCCGTCAGGGTTTAGCTAAAGAAATGGAATTCATCAAAACGTTCTTTTTATTGCCTACTCATCTTCCATTTTGTGTCTTACTATTATATTAAAACCTTAGAACTTTTTTCCAGTATCAAAATAAGTTTTTGTTGAATTTTAGTTTTTGACTAAACTCTGAGGGAATCTGGTGATGAATTTTTCGATGAAAAAGAAATGATGTCTCAAATATATTTGAAATCCACATAAGTTGACTCAGTTTCTCATGTTGATTCAGAATATAATTATTAATATTAATCAAATCGTCATTTTTCTAAGCAAAATCTCCTAAATACTAGTAAAAAAAAACCACAAATTTATGCATCGGGAATAATGTGTTCCTGGAACTTTTTTCTCAAACTCTTGTAGAGCGCAGAATTCTCTACAAGATGCACTATTTTAAAATTACACCTCGATTAGCAATCATATTGAAAACTGGCTTACAATAAAAAAAAGTCAGTTTAAAAGTACAGTTTTTCAGAAATTTATTCGACACATTTTTTGTTTTCAGAGTCCCTCATCTTTCAACGCTTATAACTCCAGTTGTAGTGTTAGAAATCGATTGGTGCCAAAAAAAGGTATATCTTAATTTTGACCATAAAATGATCCTATGGACGAATGCTCGACCGACTGGTGAAACTTCTTTTAAGGTATTGTGTTTTTTTATTATTTCAGCTTGAAATTAATGATAGTAGTGCACGTAATAGTGAAACTCAATGTTTATTAAGTGGTGGTCGTCTTGATGAAATTTAAACTGAAGATAATACAAATCGAATGTATTATGGTTTATTACGAGATCATCATCTAACAAGAATATTACAACATAAATCAATACTTGCATCATCAACAGGTGTTGATAATGAAGATAATGTTGGTGATAATCAACCATCAACATCAAAAAATCGAAAAAAACTTAAAAAAGATTTTTTTTTAGTCAACGACAAAGTAAAGCGTCATTAAAAATTGATCCTAATGCATCACAACTTACACGAATACCTATTCCGGAATTAAGAGAACATGAACGAATGGATTTAATTAATATATTTCAAGGTAAAATCATTAATTTTATTACACAATGAATATTCAAATAAACTCATTAAAACGATTCAGTATATAAAATCGATGTAAGACTAATGTTAATAGTAAAATAAGTATTCTAGATGTTATGTTCGATAATATAAAACATGATAAACATGATTGTTGCAATGACATTGAAGGAGAAGACAAGGTCTATATCGAATTTCAATACTTCAATAACTAATTTTAATATATAATTATTGAGAGACCTCATAAAAATATATATATATATATATATGCGGAATGTTGAAAAAATTCAATTTTGTTAACTGAAAACATTGACTAAATTTAATGTTTGACAAGTTGACAAAAACAAAGATAAATTCAAAATAATTGATTCTATTTTTTTTTTTTTTTTTCGTTTCTATTGCAGAAGATTATACACGAATGTTAAAAATAACATCCGATAATTTATCATCTTGTTGTTATTATACTTTATTAAATGGTTATCTTGAAATAAATTGTCTTGGTAAGTTTAATTTAAAACAAAACAAAAATATTCTCAATAAAATTTTATTTTTATTTTATTTTTCCTGTATTAAAGAAATATCCGAAGATTCAACATTACTTGCTGTTGGTTGTAAAAATTCAAGTATATATATGTATATTCATTAAATCGTCAATAATTAATAACAATGAAACTTCCTCATGAACTTGAAAGATTAGATAAATCAAATGAACATATATATGAACAAATGATGAGTAATGATGATAATAAAGATGATACAAATACACATCATGATACTGATATACTTTATAATCAACGTTTATTATGTGGTCATACTGGACCAATATATGATTTATCAATGTCACGTGAAAAATGGTTTTTACTTTCATGTTCAGAAGATTGTACTATACGTCTATGGAGTTTATTAACATGGACATGTTTAATTACATTTCGTGGTCATACACAACCTGTATTTGATGTACAATTTGGTCATTATTTTGCATCATGTTCACTTGATAAAACAGTACGTTTATGATGTATTGAACATGCACAAACATTACGAATATTTACTGATGATTGTAATGATATGGAAGCATTATGTTTTCATCCAAATTCAAATTATATAGCAACATCATCATCAGATAGAATTTTACAAATATGGGATTTATTAGAATGTAAAAAAGGACAACAAATGAAACCTATTAGACAAATGTCTGGACATAAATTAAATGTTTGTATATTAAAATTTTCTAAAGATGGTAGATATTTAATATCAGCTTGATTTGATCAACAAATTATGATATGGGATTGTAGTAATGATTCTTTAGTTACATGTTTACTTGGACATTCGGATGCAATTTTTTCTATGGTAAAATAATAGATTTATTTATTTCATATAATTAATCATTTGTAATTGTTTTTTCTCTTAGTATCAGCATTAGAGATGTTTTTTTGTTCAGAGAAATTATCAGTAAAATAATTAACGTTAAAAAGCCATTGACTTTCACTTCATGTATTTTAGTTTTAAAAAAAAACTTCTGAGGCTACAATATCTCTATGCAAATTTTGCTTAGATTTTCTAGAAAAAAAGTCGATTTACTTCTTGTTAGCGATATGATCGAGTACAGATGCAAAAAAAAAGAACGCTCTTATAACTGAATAAGAAGTTGAAAACAGATTCCAAACAGTAAAAATCCTTGTTCAAAATTTCTAGATGATAGTTTTTTTTTTCTCATATGGTTAGAGTGATATCCGTTAATTACTCTTTGATGGATAGTCAATTGAAAGAACCAACATTTTTACATAAAATGAGTTCCAAAATTTCTAGAATAAATAGTTCTCTACAAAATGAGACGTCGCCAAGAAAACAACTGTAGCCAAAAAAACGTCGTAGAAAACTCGGCAATGTTTCGTTTTGTAGAGAATTATTTACTCTAGCATTCTAAGTACTAAAAAACTAGTATTTTGGTTTTCTGGAATCCCTATCTTTGGAAATCAGATAATAATTTTTATTTCCTTATATTCTTGTTGGACACAATTTTCTCTATTCGAATCACTATTTGAAAAGCACTTACGTTAACAATAAACCTTATTGACAAAAAACCTGTTAGCGCCATCTCTGCAGGATAAAAATGTGAAATCGGATAGCAATGCTGGTATTATAAAAGAAAGGATTAATCAATATATGTTTCGATTTATGAATTTCTACCAGTAAATTGTAGTGAGTATGAAAGAAAAATCAATGACAACTAATCCTACGGTAACCTTAGATCTCAACACTTGTTTTAGATCACCTTTGACGAAAAAAAAACAACTTCTCTTTTTTATTTACTTAGGATATTTCTTGTGATTGTTCAATACTATGTACGGGTAGTGTTGATTTTTCAATACAAATATGGAATTTTGGACAATTAATTAAAGATAAAGATGATGGAAAATTAGATACTGTTCAACGTGTTACACCGTCAGCTAAATATGAATTTGTTACTTATCGTACAAAACGAACATCTACAACATTATTACATTTTACTCGTCGTAATTTATTACTAGGTTTTGGTGTATTTATTCCACCAAATGAATCAACAACTAAAACAAAAACTTAATTTTATTTGTGATAACAAAAAGTTTAAAAAGAAAAAAACTTCGACTTTTCTCTTTGTATATTCAATGTGATAATATTGACGAGAGCTAGATCAATAACAGTGAAAAATAAAAAATAAAAAAAACCTAATGCGAATTCATCCGAATAGAAATCATTTAGACATATGTCTCTCATATAACACATTGTATATAAATGCTTGTTTGTTTTTATAAAAAAGTATATGTTATTTCTTGTGTTTATCTATTCTTGTTCGTATATATTGCTACTTTGATTTTTCCGTAGAATGTATATATATATATTTATACATGAAAACAAACATTCATCGAGAGAGAAAAGTAAATGTTAGCCCAGAAAATTTTCTTTGTCCTTTCTTTTTTTATATATTTACTTAAAGAATCAAGAATGATTGATAAAAAGGAAAAAAAAAACAACAATAATTTTTTTTGTTTGTTTATTTGTATTTTAAGATTATGCCACCAAAATGAACAGCAGCTAATGCGGCAGTCGGTGGTGATCGAAAAAAAGATGGTGCAGCTGCACTATATGAAATGGCTGAACCATTTTCTAATGGTACTATTTTAACAGATCTTTGTCATAAAACATGGTCAATTGGTCAACCTATTGCAAAAGGTGGTTTCGGTTGTTTATATGAATGTCGTAGTACATCATCTAAAACACCAATATATGTTGTTAAAGTTGAACCAGATTCAAATAGACCACTTTTTTGTGAAATACATTTTTATTTACAATTAGGAAAAAAAACATTACAAGATACATTTATTAAAGTTAATCATTTAGATCATTTAGGTGTACCACAATTAATTAGTCATGGCATGCATATAAGTTTAACAACAAAACGTCGTTATCGTTTCTTTAATTATTCCATATTATAAACAAACACTTGCTAATAAACTTCAATTAACAAATAATCATATAGAACATTATCTTAATGAAAACCGTGTACAATCAATAGGTAAACAAATACTTGATATATTTGAATATATACATTCACATGGTTATGTACATGCTGATATTAAAGCTGAAAATATTCTTATGAATGATTCTATACATATTTATTTACTTGATTATGGTCTTGGTCGAAAAATTTCATTACAATATAAAGAAAAAATTCAACGACGACATGAAGGTACATTAGAATTTACATCATTAGATGTACATCGTGGTGCTGCACCATCATTTCGTGGTGATTTAGAAATTCTTTTTTATAATATATTACATTGGCTTGATGGACGTTTACCATAGTTAACAATAACTGATGGTGCACGTGTACAACAAGCAAAAATAACAGCACGTAGTGATCCATCAGGTTTTATTCAAAATCTATTTATAAATAAAAATTCTATATCATCAAAAATGCTTGATGCATTAGCACAATTTTTTCGTGAAATTATACAAATGAATTATACAGATAAAGGTGATTATCAACGTTTAAGAGAAATTATAACATGTAAATCACGACAATGACGTTCATCAATTGGCACTGCTGTTTCATCACGAAAACCATTAATTGATTTAGCAAACGAAGATGAAGAAGAAGAAGAAGAAAAAGCACCAGAATTAAAAAAAAAAAAAGAAATTCACCACGTCGTTCAACAACAACAATGAATCGTGCACGAAGTGTTTCACGGGATCGTGATTGAAGAAAAAGTTGAAATGACACACGTTTACCATCACCACCAATTCAAATGCTTTCTGCACGTAAGCGTACTCGTTCCAAGAACACTAACAGATATAAGAAAAGAAAAATTTTCAAACGATAGTTTTGTTATTAACGGTTTAAAATAAATTCATCGAAAACAAGATAATTTCCCTAAGTAATACTTCGCATTTGAGATAAGATTAAACTTATTGAGACTAGAAGAATTCATTCTCATACGCTGATATTTTTCGAGTTATGGTTTATTTCACTGAAATTTTTGAAAAGGAATTTTTGTACAAAGAGTGGTTCTCCAAATGGACCATACAGATTTAATTTCGATTTTTTTGTGTCTCGCATAAAGAATCCAAATAGTGATTTGAATAGAAAAAATTTTTCTCCAACAAAGATTTGAGTGAAATAAAATCTTTACAGTATTCCTAAAATTCAGGATCTCTAGAAAATCTAAAACTTAGTTTTGCAGCAAACAGAATACGAAAATCAAAGTTTCTTTTGACAATACAGCAATTGATTCTTTACCTCTCCACAACATTTTTTTTTGACTGAATCACATCAATTTTAAGAGAAGCTGAAAAGTTTTTTGTTAGGAAATGGCAAAAAAAAAACGAGTTTTTCTAGTATCGATGTAATTCCATCAAAAAATATCGTCGAGAATTTGGAGATGTCTCATTTTGTAGAGAACCAGTTGCTCTATGTAGTGAAAAAAAAAACATTTATTTTCGTGTTCTGTGTGCTGAAAAAACTAGGTTTGGGGTTCCATAGAGATCCTGGATTTTAAGAATACTATGAAGATGAAGATATGATTTCTTTTAAATTCTTGTTAGAAAAATTTTCTCTATTCAAATTACTATTTGAATTCTTTATGCGAGACGAAAAAAAATCGAAATTAAATTTCTATGACTAATTTTTAGAGTACCAAGTTCCCATTTGTTTGATTTTTCATAAATATTATGGCAAGGGTAGACAACACGACTATAACTCTAGAAAAGCAATGCATGACAACGAATCCTCCGAGATTTGTTTTTTTCTCAACATCCTCTATCAATTGAATGCATGTTTCAATTAAGGATATTCTCTTTCTCGTAAGGATATGAGAGTCTTTCAAATGAAAATAAAAATATGAAAACATTGCTTGTTTCTTATATTTTAGGAACACCAACATTAAATAGACTTAGTGCTCTATCAACTCAATCAAAAAACAAAATTTCTAATGATGATATTGAAGATGATGAAAATCATATTGATATGAATGTTATTCTTAATCCAGCATTAAGTTCAACACGTATTGAACGACCACGTCGAATTCAAACACAGCCTCTTCCTATACCAGCACCATCACCTAAAGTAACAAATGATTATTATAATAAAGCAATTAATCATAATATTGATGATAAAATTTGTAAGAAACCACCAATTACACCAACAAATATTCGTTCAAATACTAATAATACACCAAAAAAATCAAATAGAACATTCAGATATTATTACAAAAGTTCTTGCTGGTATACCATTAACAGATAATGAAATTCGTCGAGTTATTCATCGACCTAAATAAAATTGTATAGATTCAAAACATAAAACACTTTTTTTTGTACAGCAATGTAAAAAAAAATTTTGTATAGAAATAAAAATATTATTTTTTTCTTATACTCAGGAGTTTGACTTTTAAAACGTGTTATGAACAAAATAAACTTAAATAAATTGTCTTTTTCTTTATTGTTTATATGTATTTCTTATTATACTTTAATATTTGAATTAACTAATGAAGAAGAAAATAATGTTATAGATATTCTTAAAATGAGTAAATTGCCGACCAGTCATTTACCAGTAACACCAAAAAATGTAACTACTGCAAAATCAGGTCTTCGTCCTCCTCAACAAACTTCGACAACGACAACAATAGCAACTTCATCTCAACAAGCAAGTCCAATTGGTGGAGATTCATCTAATAATCAATTGACTATTGGTGATCATGTAATTGCTAATGGAAAATCAGGAACTGTAGCATTTATTGATCCAACAAAATTTGCTGATGGTAATGATGAAAAATAAAATGATTTTACTTTAAATAAAAATAATTCTTTTTAAATTTTAGGCGAATGGATTGGAGTTATTCTTGATGAAGCTCAAGGCAATAATGGTGAGGAGAAAGAAAAAAAATCAATTCATATAATCTATTTTTATTATTAAGATGGTTCATATGAAGGTACTCGATATTTTGAAACTGAACCAAATCATGGTTTATTCTGTCGATCGATTAAAGTACAACGCCTTACTCAAAATGGTGCTAGCAGTACTAGTGATACATCCGATCCAGTAAAATCTCAAACAACTCCATTAACTGATACCTTAAAATCGTCGACTTCAATATCGAATTCAGATAAAGGTATGCATATGTACACAGGGGTGTAACTGGGTCTCTAAGGCAGGGGGAGGGGGGGAGGGTCGTAGGCCCTTAATATCTCAAAATCTCGAAGCAGGAGGGTGGGGGGGGGGGGCGTAACGTCTTCGTTCGTATGGATTCTGCACTAAAATACCCCTAAAAACGCAGCGTTTTTCGATTTTTTTGACCAAAAAAACCAAATTTTCAAAAGCAGGAGAGCGTTGCGCCCCACCCTATTTACGCCCCTGTATGTACATTATTAATCAAAAATATAAGACCAACGTATTCTCTTTTTTCTACAATACCAAGCATTTAATTCAAAATGAAATAACCAATGAACTTTTCCATACCCAAATTTTCATAGATGTACTATGAGAGAAAGTTTTCTAAAAAACCAAACATGAGAGTTTTCAGAAGACTAGGTGAAAATTAGTTCTTAAAAGTATCAACTTTGAGAGCATATAATACTGGATAAAATGAGGAGTTACCGCGTTTTCTACGACTTTCTCTTGAAAAGTAATAAGAATCACAAAAAAATGTGATTTTGAGCAATGCTATAATAAATTTCTCTTTATGATGCATATAACTTTGTAAGGGAAGGTCGTAGAAAATTCGGCAACCCCTCTTTTTACTTAAGATTTTATGCTCTTGAAGATGGTATTCTTAAAAATATAATTTTCCCATAATCTTCTGGGTAGGAATGGGCAAAGTTGTTTTCTTTTAAGATCGAAATCCGATTAGAAATCGCTTACTTCATGATTAAAAATTAATTCTAAATGACTCACATAGAATGTATCTTATGCTAAACAGAGCTAGAAATATCCTCTTTTGTCGTTTAGCAAATTATTGTTTATATATATACACTCCTGGACAAAAGTAACCGCCTCTCTGAAGTAGTTCGAATTTTATTGATATTGAGCTGAGTTTTTCTATACATGTGAGTCATGATAAATGTTGATCGCAAGCACTGACCCGCCCTCAATTGATTGCTGTATACTTGAGTTATGCATCGAACATTATCTTCACCTTATGATGACTAGAACTCAGCTGCTTTAATATATTTCGAGTCGTATTCATTCTATTTATTTCTCTTGTTACAGATCTGATCTTAGATGATTTTCTGAGCCAGAAACAAAGTTCTATGTCCATAGTTTTATATATCCAAAGCTCAGTGCATAGCATCGAGATTTCAGTGATTAGCAAGCAATGTCATGGAGGAGTGTTATTCTAGTTGTATATAGATTTTATTACAAGTTGTAGTTATGAAACTTTCAGAAAATACCTAAGAGCATATGAGAACTTTGTACTGAAATTTTCAAGTAAATCTGTCAAGACCATCCTGAGTTACATACGCTTGAATGAAAACTTGACTTAATCAATGAACAAAAATTTTCATTGAGAAAATCATGTCTTAGCCATTTTTAAATATTTTTCTATGAAACTAGTACTGGAGATAGTTTCGATGATGAGCTTTTAAATGATAAGTTCCACGAAACTAAATGTATTAAAACAGCTGAGTTCTAGTAATCACAAGGTGAAGATAATGTGCGATGCATAACTCAAGTGTACAGCAATCAATTGAGAGCGGGTCAGTGCTTGCGATCAACATTAATCATGACTCACATGTATAGAAAAACTCAGCTCAATATCAATAAAATTTGAACTACTTTAGGGGAGGCGGTTACTTTTGTCCAGGAGTGTATATACTTCTAAAGTACTAACTTTAACTGTTTGTTAAAACGTAAATAAAAGAAGTGCATTGTCTTGCATGAAAATATTTCTGATTTCAAATTTTTTGCTTATAAAAATTTAAATCAGCAGTATGGATTTTTTTTGGGGACCGAAATCGCCTATTCCTACTTCTTCTTATATTTTTTTTTAGCAGTACTGAAAAATATTACAATGAATCTTATCTTTTTTCGCTGTATAGGAGAAGATGCAGATGCAACATTAATAAATACAACAACACCAGCTGATACGAGTACAACTACAAATGATCAAACTGTATTAGCTGAACTATCATCTACACAAGGACTTGTTGTAGGTGATCGAGTAGTTGTTAGTGGAACAAAATATGGTACACTAAAATATCTTGGTAAAATTCATGTTGCTGAAGGTATTTGGTGTGGTATTCAACTTGATGAACCTATGAGTAAAAATGATGGTAGTGTTAGTGGAAAACGATATTTTACATGTCAACAACATTATGGATTATTTTCACCATTAGCACGTGTTGAAAAAGTAACTAATAATATGATTCAATCACAAACTATTGGACGAAAAGCATCTGTATCATCAAGTATAAATAATAATTGTCAATTACAACGTTCAACAAGTCAAGAATCTCTTCATTCAAATTTATCAGAATTTTCAATATCATCAAATAGTATTAGTTGTATACCAACACGAACACCAGCTAAAACTCAACAACAAAAATTACCAACAAATACAAATCTTTATACAACACCAAATACAAAATCTTTATTAACACAAGCAGCTGCTACATTAGCTGTTATAACACCATCATCAAATCAAATGTCAAATTTAGTTCAAACAATAAAAGATAAAGATATATTTATTGAAAATTTACAATTACAACGTGAACAAGATCGTTTAGAATTTCCTCGTGCTGCACAACAAGTTGATGAAATAGAAAATCGTTTATTAGCATTTAAACAACAATATGATATAAAAATATTAGAAAATGAACAATTAAAAAAAGAACAATATCAAACAAAACAACGTTTAGAAGATTTAGAATTTCAATTAGAAGAATATAAATTAATTGATACTCATAAAGATAATTCAATAACATCAACAATACCTGATGGTTATCGTTTATTATCACCAAATGAAATTGAAATTTATGAACAAATTAAAGAAAAACTTGCTGAATTTGAATCAATTAATCAAAAATTAACACTTGAAAAACAAACATTACAAGATGAACATCGACAAGAATTAAAACGACAATATGAATTAAATGAAAATGATTTTAAAACACGTTTAAATGAATTAGAACAAAAATATAATAATGATTTAAAAATTAATCAAACAAATAATATTGATATAATTAAATCTGAATATGAATTAAAATTAAATAATCAAAATAAACAATTCAATGATATTATTGAACAAATTAAAAAAGAAAAACAACAAGAAATTGATCAACTTAAATCACAAATAAATGATCTTCAAAAGCGAGGTATTATATTTTTCTTTTTTCTTTTTTTTTTGTTTAATCTATAATTTAATCTTATAGAACAAACTAAAACAAATACTTTATCTGAAAAAGAACCTTTCTATGAACAACAACTTAAAGAACAACAATCAAAAATTGAACAATCTATCAATGAAGCACAAGAGGTATGCTTCTACAAACCAGCATTCGATTCTAAGAATCTTCTTAATTATTCAACATCTTAAATTTTAACTCTCATCATATTACTACCTATGAAATAGTAGCCTGATTTCTATCTGGAATCTGTACTACAGAACCTAGCTTAATTATCTAATAGACATTGTTGAAATAACCTTTGGATTGCATAGTAATTGTAAGCATTCTATATCACTACAAGAGAAGAACGGTTTATTTAAATACTATTTATTCATCTTTTTTTTTCATTTGTTTATCGTTCTTTTCTCATATTCTTAAAACATTGTCCAATATGAGTCACAAATAATTTTGCGATGATTTCGACAACAAGGAATATGACAATTAGCACAATGAGTAGCAATTTTTCTTGAGCACAACCGACAACATTGTTTTCCATCAGCTTCCGATGTAGCAACAGATACTGGACCTATGATCAGTATTCCAATAGTCTGCATGGCCAACTGAACGTCTAGTTGAATTGTTTGCGGATTCTGACAATGTCAATTCAAGTGCTCATCAATGAAGTTGTTCTCTAGCAACGAAGAAGTATACAAAATATCGAAGTGAAATGTTAAGACAGAAACGAAAACCGTGCAATGAGTTGCATATTCTGAAGTCTAAGCGAACCTTGGATGGTAGTATGAGGATTAATTAAAAGTTTACCTTTATGAGAGAGCTGTGCAAATACAAGCACAAAATATACTCTAATGGAAATATTACCTTCTCCATCCCAAATTCAGAATTTGAGAGTTCCCTTGATCAAAGTCATCCGTTTAACCGCAGTAGGCATAATCCG